CAGCTGTGTTTACAAATTGACGGGGAAGAGATTTTTCACCTCCTACTTTGTGCCAAGGTCAAGACAGTTTCCATTTTACTTGCTGGTTTGCCCTGACCCTGGAGGTGTCCTCTTTATGTTATCAGCCTAAGGCAGTGATCTCTAGAAGGCCTGCGTTGGTGGGGCCGGAGCCCTGCCTGCAAAGCAAAACATAAGCCCCGGCCGTCAGAGTTCGACCTCCGAGCTTCTTGGAGTCCTGCCGCTATTTTGCTGTGGGCCTCTGGAACAGTCTTTATCGTCTGACGGGTCAGTGGTGCGTTTTTTTCCTCTCACGGGTTTTCACTCAGCATTTTTTGCTGTTCGCAGGAGAATCATCCTGAGTACTCAGTTCTCCTTCCTCCCAGAATGGGCGATGCACGTAGGTTTCTGTAATCTGAAAAAAAAAGAAAAAAAAAAACAAAATGTGCTTCCCTTGGGAGAAGTGGGAGACTGAGGAGTTAGGCCTTTCTTTTTTTTTATTTTTTTATTTTTTTAAAATATTTTTATTTATTTCTAGGAGAGAGAGAGAGAGAGAGAGACAGCGTGAGCAGGGGAGGGTCAGAGAGAGAGGGAGACACAGAATCTGAAACAGGCTCCAGGCTCTGAGCTGGCTGTCAGCACAGAGCCCGACGCGGGGCTCGAACCCACGAACTGCGAGATCATGACCTAAACAAAAGTCGGACGCTTAACCGACTAAGCCACCCAGGCGCCCGGAGTTAGGCTTTTCCATTTGTGTGAAGGGATGTCCGAGGGGGCCACCCATCAAATTCCTCCTTTCTTGAGTAGCGTTCCTCATATGTGCCAAGAATTTGTCACAAAAGCAGCTTTGTTGACCTGAAGGAGGTGTTCTCCTTTCTGTTGATAATTGTGGTATTGTCTTCATCCCCTTGCTTAGAAACACACCATTGTTTTCCTGTGTCATAGAAGCTGTGCATTGATGCATATTTAAAAAAAAATTTTATAACATTTATTTATTTTGAGAGAGAGATAAAGCATGAGCATAGGAAGGGCAGAGAGAGAGGAAGACACAGAATCTGAAGCAGGATCCAGGCTCCAGGCGTCAGTACAGAGCCCGATGCGGGGCTTGAACTTACAAATTGCGAGATTATGACCTGAGCTGAAGTTAGACGCTTAATCTACTGAGCCACCCAGACGCCCCAATGCATATTTTCCTACTTGTGTATCTTTTTCTTAAACGTCTGTATTTCCCACTCTTTATTTGCTTTCTTAATTTAAAGGAATAATCCTTTTTATTTTGCTAAGCCACTTAAAATCCTTCTTGTGAGCAAACGAAGAATAAATGGGACATTTATTCCACATAGTGTTATTCTCAGCCTCCCTCCCCCCCGACCCCGCCACTTCTCACTTGTTTCCCTGAAATCCCTTGGTCATCATTGTACTCCCTATTATCTTCTTCGCTGCTAGACCACAGTAAAATCAGAGCTTCATCGTTGCCACAGGCCCTGATGCTCATCACAGTTGAGACCTCACTGAATATTGACCGCTTCACTAAGCAAGCTGAGAAGCCTACTGTGGGGTCCGGAGGCACTCAGGACCTTGAAGCTAGTTGAGGGACATAAATACACTTTTAAAACTCGGCTTTCACAGTGGAGCAATCCCTTCATTAAAAGTATGCAGGGCAATAACACACTTTGAGATAGGTGTGACCTCAGTATCATACGTAATTTGTAACTAGGAGACCATCATGAGGGCTTCTTGAACTTAAGACCAGCTGCTGCTATTATTCCTGTTATTATTACCTAGTCAAGTTTGGACGGCATGCCATTACACCTGTCACCATCTTAGCTGTCCCCAAACAACTGCCCAGCTCACCGCCCCGCCCCACACATGAGTCTGTAATTCTTGCATTTCTGGTTCTTAGAGGTTTAACAGGGGTACCCCCTGCTGATTTGTGCTCGAAAATGCAAATGGGTAGGGAGGGCTAGATCCCTTGGCTTTTCTCAAAAATGGTGTGAGTTGCTTATTGAAGATACCTTTCATTTTCTCAATTTGCTATGGTGTGAAACCTTCTGAGTTCTTCTCATAGGGTTCTTGGTCTCATTTTACAAGTGAACAAACTGAGTGTTGGGCCGGCTCAGTAATTGACTCATGGGTATTTAAGTGGCGGGTGACAGAGTTGAAGTCTCAACCCAGGAGTGTCTAACTTGAAGGCACATAAATATTCTGTCTTCATTCTCCTACGTTACAATTAAATACCAAGTTTAGTTTACATATTATCTTGTGTGTTTCCTCTGCTAACACATCAGACATTCATGAAATTTACAGATGATTTTGATCAGAATTCCAAGCACATATATTGAAAACATGAAATATTCTTGTAACGAATGACATTTAATGCCTTCTTTGTTATTAACGTGGCATTTCCATTTCTTTACCCTTTTTATCCTTGATAATGTGCATTCCCACATGTTTTTATTTGAGCTTCATCCATTCAGTGTGACAGGTGGGAGAGCAGGTGTGTGATTCCTTCTGACCCCTTTGTGGCTGGAGTGGCCTTCAGGAAATGAGGTCAAGGAGAGATACAATGCTTTTTAATGCACCTTGCAGTTGCCAGACTATCTTGGTATGTCAGATTTTAGGAATACTTTTTTAATCCAATGTAATTTTTCATGCACTGTTACCTGTTTTGTGTCCTTTTTTGCCACTGTGACGGATTCAGAACTGCTTCCATAACTGAGCTACAGAAGTTTACAGCAATTTGTGATTACCTGCTCTGGGGAGTATTGGGGGCTCTTTTGGCAACAAATCCCTTTCCCGAGTTCTTAGCCATTTGGAATGAAGTAATGAGAAAGACAGCTTATTCTCAGCTAAAGCAATCACTCTTGCTAGCTATACACCTTCCTAGAGATATTTCTTTTCTTTACAGTTATTAGCACACATTAAATTCCATTACTGTCATAATCTGGTGGGCCATAGCAGCAGCTTTTTGATCATGCAATAATTACAGTTTTTCAGTGGGGCTGATGTATCTGTCAGGTCTCATGTGGGATCTTCATAAAGTCCATGTGTTTAAAACTTGAAAAAAGTATGAGACAAGTTGAATTGTCATGGTGCTAATCTATAAATACCTCATATATTTATTTCTGTAGTATCTGTGTTTTCTTATACATTAGCGTTTTGGTGTTTGAGCCAATGGGAATTTCTTTGATAGCTGTAGAGCGTATTTAAAATCACAATAGGTAGGAATAATAGACACAAACTTAGCCAATTTATTCCCGCTACTCTGAATTCTTGGCAAAAGCTGGCAGTCACTATTCAAATTGCTGTATAAATAGCTGATTGACGTGTTCAGTAATTGGCATATTGGAGTCAGTGCCCTTTTTTTTTTTTTTTAAAGTTTATTTACTTTGAGAGGGTGGAGAAGCAGGGAGAGAAAGAATCCCAAGCAGGCTCTGTGCTGTCAGTGTGGAGTACAGTGCAGGACTCAATCTCATGAGCTATGAGATCATGACCTGAGCCAAAATCAAGAGTTGGTTGCTTAACTGGATGAGACACCAAGATGTCCCCCACTGCCTCCTTTATAATTCCAGAAATAAGAGCTTCTGTTAGAATGAAATCCCCCACCTCCCATACCTGTTTGTTAGGAATATATAGAATATATACTAGGATGCTAATATTCCATGAATTGTATAAAATGAATAGGCTCTGGGTTGTATTGAGGTTGATTATAGGCCTTTCTGATTCTCAGTTGATCTTGTTAAAGTCTTAGATTTGGGGGGAAATGCTCTTTGGAAATGTCTGAGTCCATTAAAATAGAGTGGATTAAATTCCATTCTCTTCACTATGTATCGCTCTGGTAGTTTTGCAGTTATCACAACTTAGTCACTTTAAAAAAGTGTGTGTACTTGTTTTGCATTTTCCTCAAAGATTATAAGCTCCCTAATAGGTCTTGTATGTTTCTCTTACTGCTGTATCTCCATTGCTCCGGACAGTGTCTGGCTCACCTTGGTCCTCAATAAATAGTCAGTGAGTAAATGGAACTGTGTAGCTATTGGCTTTTATGCCAGGAGTTCTACGAGTGAATAAGGGTATAAATCTAAGTAAGACATTGTGTTGTCTCTGCCCTCAAGATGTTTACCTTGGAAATAAAATAAGGAAAAGATTGTGATATATTATGTTAGAGGCATTAAGAAGTCCATAAACTATTTTTAATTGGATGAGGTGGCAGTGCTTTAGAGAGTAGAGAGAGACAGTTGTGCTGGATGCATTAGTCCTATTTATATATGAACACATGTGCAAAGACCCATCCAGTGGTCTGGCACATGCAGGGAACTCGATAGCTGGACAGCTCTAGGGTTTTGCACGTGACAGGGTACTAAAGAGGCAGCCGTGTGTATTTTGTAATAATAGTACTGAGTTAACACACAAGAAGAGGTCTTTATTAATGTTTTTCCAAAGAGTTGAGATCTTTTTGTTCTGGGAATCACGTGATGTCGTTCCCTTCTCTTTGATTAACTTAATTCCCTCTTGTGAAATTGAGTACCACATGTCATTCTTTAGCAATGAGTTGGTAGTTATTTAAGTATATCGTTTTAAGCTAAATGTGTTTTTTTTTTTTAAGAGAAAGACAGAGTGCAAGCAGGGGAAGGGATAGAGAGAGAGAGACAGAGAGAGAGGGAGCCACAGAACCCGAAGCGGGCTTCAGACTCCGAGCTCTCAGCACAGAGCCTGACACGGGGCTTGAACTCACGAACTATGAGATCATGACCTGAGCCAAAGTCAGATGCTTAACCAACTGAGCCGGGCAGGTGCCCCTGAGCTAAATGTTACCAGCTGGTTACACCTGAATGTGCTGTTCATACCTGAAAATGTTTCAGTGAGAAAAAATAAAGTGCCTGTTGAGTTTTCATGTGAACATTTAGACTGAAGGCCAATCTTGGTGTCTCACTGTGATTTTGATTATGTAAAACAGCCTGTATTGGTTTTAATGGTCTTTCTCTTCTCTCCTGCACACCGGCCAGCTAGGTGACGTGATGGTCGACATTGCAAGTAACATCATGTTGGCTGATGAGCGCGTTCTGTGGCTGGCCCAGAGGGAGGCTAGGGCCTGCAGTAGAATTGTCCAGTGTCTACAGCGCATCGCCACGTACCGATTAGCAAATGGAGCTCATGTTTATTCAACAGTAAGTGTAACATTGTCCTGGAATTCTAAGAAAAGAAATTCATTGAAAGCGACTTGAACTTGTAAAAGATAGGTTTTTTTCTTTTCTCATGATACAGTTGGTGTTTTCTGTTCCTGCTGATTATTACAGAATTTCCAGTTCTCTTAACATGTTAAAAGCTCATTTTGCTTTTGAGTAATCTGTTTTCTCGGTAACTGGAAAATACTTTAATTTGCAGTGTGAGTGGTTATCACCATTTAATCTGAAAGACAAATAAGCACACTATAGGATCACTGTGCAGTCACATGCCCACCACCCCTCCCAGCTAATACTGTGTTCTGGGCCCTGAAGGATGTTTTGAGAGAGCGTCTGATTGTTTGCCCAGGTTCCAGCTTCAAAAGAGAACTGGGGAGCGCCTGGGTGGCTGAGTCGGTTAAGCATCTGACTTTGGCTCCGGTCATGATCTCCCTGCTTGTGAGTTTGAGCCCCACATCAGGCTCTGTGCTGACAGCTTGGAGCCTGGAGCCTGCTTCGGATTCTGTGTCTCCTTCTCTCTCTGCCCCTCCCCTGCTCACATTCTGTCTCTGTCTGTCTGTCTCTCTCTGTCTCTCTCAAAAATAAATAAACAGTAAAAAAAATATTTTTTTAAATAAAAGAGAGAGAACCGGGAGGCCCTCTAGCCTTTGTGAACTATTGACATTTCCAGTCAGTCTCACTCTTGGAATAATGAGTATTTATATTTAATAATCACTCAAATCGTATTAAATTTTATTTGTGCTAAATTGAGCTGTTCTAAATTTCTTGCTGTACTGCTGACTTTTTGTACAAATGTGGTAAATGTGATAAATACTGTGTCATTCCCTTATTACTCGTACCCTGATCTCTGGTCCATGGTTCTCATTGCCTAATTTTAAGTGGGTTCATGGAATATTTTCTACTTCCTCCTATGATTTTATACAATTCAAGGTTACTATTTTTTCAAAGGTGGATGGGATCTTTTTGAAGATACTATTTTATTGTTCCTTTTGCCCCATTAAGTTTAGGATTACTTTCTTGAATAATAAATAAAATGGAGGGCTACCGAGCTACTGACTGGACAACATAGTTCAGGGTAATTTCTCTCTCAGACACTGACCTTACTGGAAACTGGCTCGCCATTTTTGATGGCCACATTTGGCCTTCCCTGGTCATTTAGATCTATTTTAAATTCCTTGCCTGAGCCTTACTACTCAGCTCAAAGAACTTCTTCCTTTCTCTAAGCTTCATTGGTTCTTTGGAGAACTCAAGGGTACAGTAAAAGTGCATAGTAGGTATTTGCCCTCCATTTATTTTATTTATTTATTTTTTTAATTTTTCATGCTTTTTATTTTTGAGAGAGAGACAGAGCATAAGTGAGGAAAGGGGAGAGAGAGAGAGAGAGAGAAGTAGACACAGAATCCAAAGCAGGCTCCAGGCTTCAGAACCTGACACAGGGCTCAAGCTCACAAACTGTGAGATCATGACCTGAGCCGAAGTCAGATACTTAACTAACTGAGCCACCCAGGCATCCCTATTTTATTTAATTTTTTAATTCTTTTTTTTAAATGTTTTATTTATTACTGAGAGAAAGAGAGAGTGTGAGCAGGGGAGGGTCAGAGAGAGAGGGAGACACAGAATCTGAAACAGGCTCCAGGCTCTGAGCTGTCAGCACAGAGCCTGACGCGGGGCTTGAACTCATGGACCATGAAATCATGACCTGAGCCAAAGTCAGACGCCCAACCAACTGAGCCACCTAGGCGCCCCTATTTTAATTCTTTTTTTAAAAAAGTTTATTTATTTGAGAAACAGCATGAGCAGCGGAGGGACAGAGAAAGAGGAAGAGAGAGAATCCCAAGCAGGCTCTGCACTGTCAGCCCCATGTGGGGCTCCATGCCAGCAACCATGTTCCTCAGTTGGTATTCTTCTAGATTAGGATATCCTTTGGTTTCCAGCTTCCGTTTTTATGTGCCAGTTACCTACACAGTGTCTTTGTTACTTAAGAACCAGAGCTTTGTACCTGTAGCTTATGTACAGTGTTTTGTGTTTGAAAACTCTTTGAAAGTGCTTTTCCCTCACGCTATAAATCTTTCATAACTCCTCTTTGACTTTTGAAGTATTCACCCAATATTGCTCTGGAAGCTTATGTCATCAAAGCTGCTGGCTTCACTGGGATGACATGTACCGTGTTCCAGAAGGTAGCAGCCTCCGACCGGACGGGCCTCTCCGAGTATGGGAGGAGGGATCCAGATGGAAACCTGGATAAGCAACTGAGCTTTAAGTGCAATGTTTCAAATACGTTTTCGAGTCTGGCCCTGAAGGTATGTTATATTCTATAAGCATTTAAGACTTTCTGTTGTTAGATTAGAATACTCAAAATGGTTTGCTTTGCAGAATCACCTAAGTAGAAATTCTTTGTGGGGTGAGGTGGGTATTGGTATTGTTTTTGCTGTTGTTTTGAAAGAAATTCAGACCAGGAAGGGACATGGAATGACTTTCATGGGCCTGGACGCTTTTGCCCTTTGGACCCCGTTCTCCATACAAAAATATCAAAATTATATTTCATGACTGCAGTGGTAAAAAAATGAATGTATTAATACATATTAGAACATTTTCTTTGACCTAAAAGTTCATTTTTATGCTCCCGATTTTAAAGACATGAAAACATTTCTGTAGACCTCCTGAAAGTATTCTGTGCCCCTGGCTCTGTGCCTCTTGGACCTAATGGAAAAGCCAGCCTTGAGACTGGGCATTTCATCAGGCAAGCTGTATATCAAGATTTTTGGCAAAGAAGTGCAAACATGTGATCTGTCTTCAGAAAATGTGTGTTTTATTGCAGCAAGGAAAATGAAAAGCATTTTTACTGACTTTTAAAATTTTGGGATTTAGATGTGTTTCACTGAAACTACATTGAAGCAACGAGTGGCGGCACAAGCCCCACACCCTAATGGAACTACTTTTTTTCACTTAGCTTTGTATGGCCATGTGTAGCTGTGTTCTCTGTGGGTTTTAATTATACAGGACTTTCTTTGTTTCTGGCTTGTCCCTAAGTTACGTCGCAAACAATATTCCATTCACTTTAATGGCTGCATAGTAATTGATCAAATAGGTATTAGGTGTCCTGGCAAATTGTGGGCATTCAGTAACTATTAAATGAATGAATGAATGAATAAATGAGTGAAAGAAAGAAAGAAAATTAATGTATTTTGTTACACCTTGCTATTGGTGACCTCCATAAGGAGAGCCAATTTACTGAATTTAGAAGCAGTTCAACTTCCCTGACTTCCCAGGACTATCTCAGCTAGGTCAGAATGTCAAACAATAATATATTTACTTGATATAATATACTCAGAGGAAGATTTGCAAGATTTATTTGTTACATTTGGCTCTGTGAGGGTACTTAATGCACCCAGCAATGCTTCCGCAGACCTCTTCCTTTCCTTGTGTTTTTCATTGGTGGAACATACCACAAAAGGCAGAGAAACAGCATCGCACACAAGCCCGAGAGAGAAAGGCTTGTGTCTTTGAGGACCACTTAAAATTGATGAACCCTTCTATCTTAGATGATCAGAGCTGGTAGAAAGGGATTACAAATGATGAAACCCTCCATTTCATCAATTTCACAAGCTACCCCTCTGGGTAAGGAGAGTTTCTACCTGCCAAAGTCGAAAGCTTTAAATGAACACCCTCAGATTTGTCAATTTCATACTCTTCTATCCTTTTAAGATCATCTGTGGCCAGAAACCAAGGACGCATTACACTATTATTCATGCTTCGTTGGTGGACATGATTAAACCGAGTGAAAAAGGAGTATTTCCTTCGTGACACAAAATTAGTTAAAAATTATAATGTCAACAGAGCACAATGCTTTAGCACTTTAATAGAAAACTTCACATTTTTAACTTTATACTAGGGCAATTTTTACTCTTTGCATGTCTTTTTAATGCATTGCATACACTCACTAGATAACATGAGCACCTCCTAATTGATTATATTATCCTTGAATGGGTGAATATGCTAACATACAAAGTTAAATCTATAAAAAGGAAGTTTTCCATTAACAATAGGAACTTCTTGAATTGCTTTTTTAAATTTTTTTTATTAAGAAAATTTTTTATTGTTTTATTTATTTCTGAGAGAGAGATAGAGAGAGAGACAGCGTGAGCAGGGGAGCACCAGAGAGAGAGGGAGACACAGAATCTGAAACAGGCTCCCGACTCTGAGCTGGCAGTTAGCACAGAGCCTGATGTGGGGGCTCGAACCCATGAACTGTGAGATCATGACCTGAGCCGAAGTCAGACGCTGAACCAACTGAGCAACCCAGACGCCCCTTGAATTGCTTTTTTTTGTATTTCTTCAATCTGTATCCTTCTGTCTTTACTGCCATCATAGCCTGGTTTGGACTTCTAGATTACCTACACCCCTGTGGCTTCCTGTTTAGTCTTTGGGTCAACAGGCTCTTGCTTAAAAATCCTTCCTTCTTTGGGGCTCCTGGGTGACTCAGTAGGTTGCGTGTCCAACTTCAACTCAGGTCATGATCTCACAAGTTTTGAGTTCAAGCCCTGCATCGGGCTGTGTGCTGACAGCTCAGAGCCTGGAGCCTGCTTCGAATTCTGTGTCTCCCTCTCTCTCTGCCCCTCCCCTGCTCGTGCTCTGTTTCTCTCTCTCAAAAATAGAACATTAAAAACAAAATCCATCCTTCTTCTATAATCTATCCTTCTACCTATATCTGACTTTCAACCAACATGTCCCAATTCAACCATGACAGTAAAGTACTGAAGTACTTTCCCTATTCTCTACCGCAAGCTGCCTTGCCAGTTAGTTCCCTGAGCGTCTCCTCAGCCCTTCTGGGAACACCACCCAGTCTGTCCACCCTTTAGTAACAACTTCCAGGGCTGCAGAGCAGAGGGTCTCCAGGAGGCTTCCTGTTTGCAGAGGCTGTTCAGCTTGTTCGTGTCCGTGTCATTTCACACGGTTCATGTTGTTAGCATTATCCCTGGGTCTGCCTGATGTGGAAATTGACCCGGCATATCCTCTGATAAATACTCATGTGTCGCTCTGGAGGCTGGCTGTCTGATAACTTCATCCTTTGGCTTTATCTACGCCCACCCCATATCTCTTCCTGCCTCCTTTCTTCTGTCCACTAACACCAAACCCCTCAGAGTTCCTCTCCCAGCCTCTTAGGCAGTCCCCTGCTAATTCTTCTGCTAGACTTCCCGGCTCCTCCTCTTCCCCCCCCTTCCCAGCAATTTGGTTGTTTGTGCGGAAATGTCACCATCAAGAAATCTTCCCTAATGCCATCCTGTCTGTCCTCTCCCACCTTTATCTCCTTCATTTCTCTTCCTTACTTTGTAGCACTCCGTGCATCTCTTTATTATCGTGTGTTACACACTGGAGCCAAATGGATTTCATGCCTCTTACACCGGAGACTGAGGTTTGCTTGAGGGCACAGTGCCTGAGTCACCAGTGAGTGCCAGTGCCTGGCCTCAGTCGGCCGGCCAGGTGGAGACTGAATTAGCTGTCCTCTGACTCTTAAAGCGCCACATCGGTTCTTTTTTCTTAACCAAATGCTTTCTTCCCCTGTTGGTGCCATAACAGATTATGTTAGCATCACCCAATGGTATCTGTTTTCAATAACCCACTTAGAGCTTTTAGAAAGTGCTGGTATTTTGAAGTCAGCTGTAATATAGGCTGGAAGAACTGGTTCTTTAAAGTTTCCTCGACTGGAATTTAGAAATCAGTCTTTCTTGACGCATCCCAGTGTTTCCCTTTCCCGAGATTCCAGCTGAAGTTCTCTAACTTTCCAGACCAATGGTGTATGTCTTCATGGCCCCTGCCCTCCTTTCTGCCCCCTTTACCGCCCTTTTTCCCATCCTTGACTAGTGAAAGCCTTGCTACTCTGTTTCTAAGACTCCTTCAAATAGTACCTTCCTTCTTTTTCTGAGAATTCATCACTGCCTTTTGGTTCCATAGTGCTTTCTTCATTCTCCAGAGTAATTTGAAGCCAGTAATATGGGCAGCTGAGTTAGAGTGGGAAGCCATGGGATACGGTGCTCTGGTCTCTGCAGCCAGAAATTGCCTTTCTTAACAGCTGTGCAAACTTGAGCAAGTACCTTCACCTCTCTGAATGTCAGTTCTCCATTTGTTACATAGGCATCAGGAAATAGTAGCTAACTCAAAGAGTTACTTAGAGGATTAGAGGAGGCAAATGTGTAGACATTTACAGTAGTGTCCAGCGCAGCATAAGGACTTAATAAATGTTAGCTCTTATTTTGTTTTATTCCTATTGCCTCTCCCCTGTTCGCTTATCAATATTTGAGGCAGGGTCCGTGGCTTATTCATTGTTTTATCTCCAGATTCTGCACGGTGCCCTAATACCGAGTAACAAAATATCCAATAAGTACCGTTGAATAAAATTTAACAGCCAAAGCTTAATTAGCAAGGAAAGTCAGTTAGTAAAAACTTCATTCTGAAGACAAACGTAATTCCTGTTAATCTTTAGCAGTGAGATAATCAAAAAGTGGCACGCGGTTAATAACTATATATAACAAAATTAGGGTGTATCATATCTGTTTAAAATCAAGGGAGTAGATAGTTAAGACAATATGAATCAATTAGTATTTTATTGTTTTAAGTCAGGTGGTGCCGCTTTGACTTACTCAAATTTGTGTTAGAAATCTGCAGAATTGAACAAAGTTAGCATTTCAGAAAAATTTAACTTGTTAATTACACAGTGGCAGACATTCAGATTGTTTCATAAAGAAAGGTGTTAAAATCCAGTAGAAGTATTGGAGTGAACACCCATTATACTTAGGTTCTTCTTGGTTTAATGTCATTGTAAATAGGAAAATATACGTGAATTTTGCCAATACAATAGTAAGAGCCCTGCAATAATGTTCATTTTATGTCTGTTCATATTTTGTCAATTTTTAGTATTGAATTTAATACTAACAGTGAATTGTGGAAGTCACAATCTGATGAGGTTCTAGATTATTGCTGGGAAGTCACTAGCTTTAAGGCGTGTTCTGTTGCCCCAGCCTCCAGAGAGCCTGTCCCCACCCTGCGGTAGTAAGAGTAATAAAAATACCGCCCGCAGTGATGCGGCCTCTTAGCTTCTCATGGTCATGATCCCATGTGGTCCTTACAACCGTTTGTTAGAAAGATCATTAGCTGCCTGTGACAGATGAGACCCAGAGATATAAACAAAACTGTGCAGAGTTAAGTTGCCACTAAGTGGTGAGGCTGGGACCCATATCCTGGTTTCTTATTTCAGATCCTGTGTGCTTATCCCCAGGGGCAGCATGTGATCTGCAATAATAAAAATTAGATGCCAAAACCATATACAGTATTTCCCAAAGGTGTTTAAGAGAGGTTTTTCTAACTCATTAGCTCTAATTGCCATGTTTATATCTTTCCATTGCTGCAACCTATACATTTTAAAAATGCATAGAGGGTTAAAGGAACTAGAGTCAAGTGGCAGAAGGTAAAATCATGATAAATGTAACAAGTGAGTGTCCCTCAGTGATTTTTTTCATTATTTTACAACATTTCCATAATAAATGATCACTTCTTTTAAAGACGTTAAATACACAAATATCATATTCTTCCCATAAAAATCCAAATGATACAGCTTTTCCAACACCCCTCACCTTCCTCTCTCCATCCCAGGTCACCTGTAATTATTAGTTAGTGGTATTCCTTATTGGACTTTAAAGGATTATTTCCGAAGCTAAAATATGTACAGCCTTGAATATGTAGCTTTCATCTCTCAACGATCTGTTCTTTAAGTTTTTACTATTGTTGTTTGTATGGTTTTACAAGTTTAAAGTTGGATAGAAAACATTTTCTCACTTTTAGGAATTATAGATGCCATTTCCTTTTTTCCAGCTTTTTTTAGAAAACGTCAGAATGTCTTCTTTTTGAAATTAATTTGGTATAATGCTTTCCCAGAGTCCCCTGTGCTTTGTCTTTGAGTCATTTTGTGTTTACAGCAAAATTATTTTCTTGAAGTTTATGGTTCTCAAGTTTAATAAATGTCCAGTATATAATGCTTTATCAGGATTTTGACCTTTTAACTAATCCATCTGTTGATGTATTTCCCTTTTTTTGCACACCTATTTAAAAATAAATTTATACATGTAATAGAAATTTACTAGATTAGCAAGTGAGTTTATAAGAAACATTGTTTCTCCATCAGGTTATATTTTTAAGTGAGAATAGTGAAAATCTTTTTGTGTATTTAAAAATATTCTTTTAATTTTTATTTTTGAGAGAGAGACAGAGTGTGAATGGCGGAGGGGCAAAGAGAGAGGGAGACACAGAATTGGAAGCAGACTCCAGGCTCTGAGCTGTCAGCACAGGGCCCGACGCCGGACTCGAACTCACAACCCGTGAGATCATAACCTGAGCTGAAGTTGGCTGCTTAGCCAACTGAGCAACCCAAGCACCCCTTTTTGTCTATTTTTCTTAGGCAAAATATTTCTACCAAATATCTTCTTGGCATCTTCAATTTAAAATAAATATTTCAAACTTCTAATATTCAAACTTTCAAAATACTTTATTCAACAGATATTTGTGTGTTTCCAGTATGTTGCAATACTGTTCTGAGCACAGCAGTTAAAAACTAATTTTAAAGTTAATCACTTGCTTAAATAGAACCTTTTTAAAAATATAATCATACCACACAGACTTTCATTAGTTTTACAATCAATGGGTTACTTTTATCAAATACAAGTGCCAGGAACTATTATTAACATAGAGGGTCCAGAAACATAAGGGAGATTATCTGTGCTCAAAAATCCTGCTACTCTGGTTAAAGGCGCAGTCCGTGAGTTAATTGTGAGTGTACACATATGAGCCCTAGGAGATGTGTGTGCAGAATCCCGCATGAGGCCACAAGAGGGAGCAGCTGACTGGAAAAGCAGTGTAATTAATCATCCAAAAACCCTGTTCTAAGGATGTCTTTCTCCTGGCTGTCAGCCGCTCTTTTACCCTGACCCATCTTTGACATTGCCTGCAGAATGATCTTGCTAGAAATCGGATTCGCCGAGTTCAAGAGTTTGCCAGATGAAACAGTAGTAGAGCATTTCAGCAAGGGGTCCCAGCACGTGCAGCACACACAGTGGCATAAAACACGTAGGAAATCTCGACGATTAAAGAATTCAAGGTGGAGATATAGGGTATTTTAGAAGATGAATTTGAGATGTAGATTTTAGCCAAATTATATGATGTCCTTAAGATTGGGGGCATTGGTCCCTAAACATTGGAGAACCGAGGTGTTCTTTAACAAGGTCAGATGTATTTTTAAAACATTTTTTAATGTTTTATTATTTATTTTTGATAGAGGGACAGTGCATGAGCAGGGGAGGGGCAGAGAGAGAGGGAGATACAGAATCTGAAGCAGGCTCCAGGCTCTGAGCTGTCAGCACAGAGCCCAATGCAGGCCTCCAACTCATGAACCGTGAGATCATGACCTGAGCCAAAGTTGGATGCTTAACCAACTAAGCCACCCAGGCATCCCTGAGATGTATTTCTTTTTTCTTTTCTTTTCTTTTCTTTTCTTTTCTTTTCTTTTCTTTTCTTTTCTTTTCTTTTCTTTTCTTTTCTTTTCTTTCTTTCTTTTCTCTTTTCTTTTCTTTTCTTTCTGTTTTCTTTTCTCGTTTCATTTCTTTCTTTCTTTTTTTTTTGGTATCAGTAGTCGATTCTTTTTATTGGTTAGTAGCATACCATTGTATGAATATACCACAGTTTTGTCTTTTCATTCATTCTCATATTAATGGACATCTGGTCTGTTTCCAGGTTTTGGTTATTATGAATAAAGTTACTATGTACATTTATGTACCAGTCTTTTTGTGGACATATATATTGACATTTGCTTTTGTTTTTTCTTAAATAGTTTATTGTCAAGTTGGTTTCCATATAACACCCAGTGGGGTGAGATGTATTTCCTAAGAGGAAATTCTGTTGCTATCGTGGACATTGGATTGGAGAGAGATTGGTGCTAAGAGAAAAACTTTGAGATAAATTCTTAAAATAGGGAATCTTTTCAGAAGGTTAATTATTTGCCTCCCTAGCATATGGATTTATTTTTTATTGAATGCTGAATAATTTATAATTTAAAAATCTCTATTAAAGAAGTATGTAAAACATACTCAGCAGCAGCCAGCATTGCCACCTTTTCTATTTGTTACTATGTTTTTTTTCTGACACAGTGTGTTCTTACTCTCTGGGATACTTCTGCTAAGATAAGAGTTTGCTTGAATCTAAGTTTCTAATAAGTCTGTAGAATTTCTTTGTTGTTGTTGTTGTTGTTTGACAGTTTGAATCCATCATAAATCACCTTAGAGTTCCATAAATCCAAATTAATTAAACTCAGATTTGCGATAGGCTGCATTGGTGCTTATTTCTGTAATTGATCACTGTAAAATTGATAGAGTGATCACTGAGATATCCCTGATCTGTTTAATGCATTGACTTCAGCAGTATGTGTTATCATGGGAAAATTTCACTTTGCACTTTGAAATAATTGCTTATTTACTACTTCAATTCTCTGAATTAGAGTACGTATTCCTCTTTATTTTATGCTTCTTTTCCTCTGTGCTTTTGTGTGGTGTTCAGATATTTCACTTAATTGATAAATTGTTTTAACTATTAAATTTTGTATATATACTAAAATGTATATATTTTTAAGATAAAAACTGTTCAGTATACAAATAGGAAACATGCACAACTGTCTAAAATATGCTTCCTGGGTTCTGCATGCTAATGTGGCAACCTTTCTTTGCTTTTGTTTTTTATGTATATTCAGAATACTATCGTGGAAGCTTCCATTCAGCTTCCTCCTTCCCTTTTCTCACCAAAGCAAAAAAGGGAAGTCAGACCAACCGATGACTCTCTCTATAAGCTTCAACTCCTCGCCTTCCGCAACGGAAAGCTTTTCCCAGCCACCGGGAATTCAACAAATTTGGCTGATGATGGAAAACGGCGTACAGTGGTCACCCCAGTGATCCTCACCAAAATAGGTACCCTGGAGTTACTGGACAATGTGACTTTAATGATATACCGTCCCTAAAAATGCTTAATTCTGTTCCTTCTCGTTTTAATGAGTCACTCGTGAAAAAAGATACTGCAGAGTACCCATTAGAGTATAAGTTGACATTTCATTGTTTATGAAGTTTGTCTCAGAAATATTGTTATTTCCCATTTTCTCCAGATGGCGTGAATGTAGATACCCACCACATCCCTGTTAATGTGACGCTGCGTCGCATCGCGCATGGAGCAGATGCCGTGGCTGCCCAGTGGGATTTTGATTTGCTGAACGGACAAGGAGGCTGGAAGTCAGATGGGTGCCATATACTCTACTCGGATGAAAATATCACTACCATTCAGTGCAGCTCCCTTAGTAACTATGCAGTTTTAATGGTATGGCAGTTGTTAAACTTTATGCACATAAACACTAAATTTCCTAATTTTTTCCCTACGCGTAGTTAAACTCAAATGAAGATTTTTTTTAAAAGAACTTTTAACATAAATTGTTACCTTTAGTTAAGGGGCGATACTTGGTGTAATTCTGAGTTAAAAGGGAAATTAAGTTACCATTAAATGCAGTGTATGGGATTGAATTTGGTTATAGGGATTTTCAGTAAAGTTTATAAGTGAGTCAGTTCAACTAAACTTTGACCTTCTGAAAATTTGGGGACATTTGGGTCTGTGTAGTCTTAACTCTTCACGAGGAAAGAGTGACTCATTTGCCCAGAGATACACAGTGGATAGTGACGGAGTTTCCTTCTTTGTTATTTTGCACCTACTCCCACCACACATCATGATTTTTAGACTCTTGAATTTAAAGTAACAGTGGTAGTTGCCATTTAGCTATTGTAACTGACGGTATTGACACAGTTAAGGTCTTTTCACTTAAAAAAACTTTTTTTAAGGTTTTTATTTATTTTTGAGAGTATGGGAGGAGGGGGCAGTGTGAGCAGGGGAGGAGCAGAGAGAGAGGGAGACACAGAATCCGAAGCAGGCTCCAGGCTCTGAGCTGTCAGCACAGAGCCCGACGTGGGGCTCGAACCCACGAACCATGAGATGATGACACGAGCTGAAGTCGGACGCTTAACCAATTGAGCCACCCAGGTGTACCAAGGTCTTTTCACTTTTAATGCTAATCAAGCTGCTGTTGTTTTCTGTTATTTACCTCTGTTCATACTTGTCAGTCTCTGGTAGCCAGTTTCTTTAGTCTCAGGGAAACTACAGTGTATAGATGTATATGAACTTATAGGAACAGGTCTTGTATTAGTGACTCACCTAAGTGAATCTGATTCCTGAGCTGGCAATTATGAACTTGTCCATGCTAGTTTATATTGTATATTACAGTATATACATGAGGTACATACACATGCATTTGGAGAACAGTAGAAGGAATTACGTAGGAATCTGAAAGGCATTTCTAGGAAGTCATACAAAGCTAGCCTGGGAGTGGGGAAGCTTATGTTTATGTTCCTGCCCCCAGCTATAAATCTGTTATCTAGACAATATTGTCTCAAAGCTGAAAAATCTCGCAACATGATATATCTTAATTTTTGTAAATTCTTTTCTTAAACAAAAGTGCGTTTACCGCTAGAAGTGATCTTAAAGGAAGCTTGAAGTAGGATAGATTTTCCTGAACTTTTTTGGCTTTTTCTTTGCAACTCGGCTAAGCATATACTTACCCAGCATCTGGTCAGACAGGCAGAGGAGTGACTATTATTCAGCTGGGTGTAAGGATGGTCTTTTAGTGACCTCCATTAACGTGTGTATTTAGCTCAGCTGATGGTGGAGTCTATACTAGTCTTGACTCCGCCATATTTGTTTAAGTCATTTATCTCTTTCTCATGCTTGGTTCTTGTTAATTTTTAGGCTTCTGACAAACAGAAGATGTTTGATGTTTGTAAGTCTGAGTGTGGTTTCTTTAAGTTCACATTTTATTATTTTGTAGTAACCTTTCACATTAAAGCAGGAAGCATTAATTAAAGTATGAGGCATTTTCTTTCATTTTGAAAATGTTTTGTCATTCAGGTTTTGCTTTTAAAACAACATGAAACTGGGACATACTGGAGGAGAAATAGTAAAGATACAGCATTGTCTGAACTTTATATAGTTTAAAGCATCTATTTTTAAACTTCCTAACCGTTCTTCTAAACTATTTAAATTGGTATAATCCTTTTCTAGAAAGAATAAGCTATTTTATCATTCATGCTTTTAATCTTTTAAAAAATGTAATACACAGTTCTTATTTAAAGCTAAAATACAGTACTGAGATATTTTTCTATTTTCAAAGAATATCCTCTTTTGCTTTTTAAAATTATAACTCTGCCACCTAGAGGCTGCAAAGGGGAATGTATCTGAAATTATTGACAAAATTATAGTAAAGTTAGTACATGGGATTTTTAGAGATGCTAATTAAATATAAAGCCAAAGCTAATTAAATTATACCTACTCTTAAATAAATATATGTCTAAGATAAGAGAAATATCTTCTAAATATTGGAAGTCAGCATCTTTTTTCCTTATCTGACACTATTTAATAGATAAAATCCTATTTTTCTTGAAAGCTGTCTTCATGTATGGCTTAATATGCAAATCTCAGTCCCTATTTTGGCTATTAAAAGCTTTTTCCTGATCTGGTTTTAAAGAATTTTGTATTGGGGTGTCTGGGTGGCTCAGTCGGTTAACCATCCGACTTTGGCTCAGGTCATGATCTCACGGTTCATGGGTTCAAGCCCTGCATCGGGCTCTGTGCTGACAGCTCAGAGCCTGGAGCCTGCTTCAGATTCTGTGTCTCCCTCTCTCTGCCCCTCCCCTGCTCATGCTGTCTGTCTCTCTCAGAAATAAGTAAAACATTAAACAAATTTTTAAAAATTTAAAGAATTTTGTATTGAAAACAATGAGACAGAAAGAATATATTGGTTTGCAAATCTGTAATAGACGCCATAGTTTTGTTTAGTAGATGTTCTGTTGTAACCAGTTGTGCCTACCCTCCGTCACAACAGGAGCCACAGAAAAAACTTGGGTAGAAATTGGGTTTGGTTGAATGATATGATCAGAAATAGCAGGATTGAGGCAGGAGGAGTCCTAGAAGTTGGGATGAGTAGAAGGCAAGGAGAAAATGAGTAGGGTCAGACTGTGGAGCACTTAATACTTTAATGAAAGATGAAATAAACTGTGTACCTTGGCTCCCTTTTGGCATCGCATTCACACAGAAATATGTGGAACTAGAGAGTTCTCATTTGTTTTTACATCTCTCTAGTGCAGCTTTGAATTTTTGTTTATATAAAACCTGAATGAAGGCAAACCATGGCTTCCTCTATTCTATAACTGAAAGTGAATGTTAACACCGTTTGTTTTTTTATAATTCTTAAATAGGTACTACATTCACAAGGATCAAACATTTTAATTATTTCTGCACATATACATATAGTGAAAATGACCTCCACCCTCTCCCCCATCACAGTCATTCTGCACAAAGTAGGTAACCTGTCACTAATATGTTTCTTGCCTATTGTTGAAGAGATGTTCATGTATGTTGAAACGAAATGAATAGGTAGTCTTCTTTTCTTCCATTTTACATGCTGCAAACATTGTTTCAAACCCTGCTTTTTTTCCATGTATCTAATGATGCAGATGATGTCCGTGGAACTATTTATGTTATGATTCTGGTGGCTAGTTTTCAGTAAGTGCTCTTGTACTGGGCATTCTTCTGAAGTCATTAACTTATTAACTTACAAGTTATTAACTTATTTGGTCATCATAGCTACCTCACGAGGTCTAGTACTGTTACCATTACCGCCTGGTTGCAGACTGAGAAACTGAGGCATAGTGAGGTTAAGCACCGCCCAACTTGACCAAGTTAGTGTCGGAACTGAGATTTGAATTCAGACTCCAGAAATCTATGTACTTAATCATGCTACTAAATCTCCTTTCAAAAATTTTTCTGTATCTTCCTCATTCGTTTTCACTGTTGAATATTACTTCTGCCCCTACCATGATTTATTTAGGTATTCCTCTATTTTGTTTCTAGTAATCTCCTTGCACAATATTATTTCACACATTTAATAGAAAATCTGCAGGATAAATTTTCTAAGGTGGGATTGGTAATCAGTGGGGGACCAGTTTTGTTCAGTGGAGGCTTTGGGCAGAGTGCACAGATAGATTTGAAGTGTATGGTTTAATGATATTTTTATGTGAATATGCCCATTTGGCTACCATCAAGATCAGGATTCCTGCTTGAGTGCTCCTTAGCGCTTCTGTGCTTCTTTTTAGTTAACTCCACCATCATCTCAAGAGCTGTCTCCCCATCCCCTTATGTCTATCACCATAGATCAGTTTTACCTGTTTTTCAACTTCATAAAGTTGGAATTTTACAGCGTGTACTCTTTTATATCTGGTACCTTTCCCATCATTACATCTGCAAAATATATCTCTGTTTTTACATATGGCAGCAATGTATTCTCTTTCATTGCTACATACTTCACTGGAGGAAAATGCCAAAACCTGTCTGTCCCACTCTTTATGGGCATTTGAGCTGTTGCTAGGTTCTGGCAATCAAAAAAACCTGCTATTCATGTGCTTGGTTTTTGATGGGCAGAGGCACTCAGGCGCAGAATTACCGGATTGTAGGCTATCTGTATATTTAGCTTTGGTAGCTAATGCCATACAGTTGACCAGAGTGGTTATTTTGGTTTATAGTCTTCCCAGTAATGAGCATTTTCATTGCGCCACATCCTTGCCAATGGTCGGCAGTATAAGTCTTTAATTTTAGACTTTGGTGGTGATACTGTGATATATCATTGTGGTTTTAATTTGTCATTCTCTGTTGACTACTGGTGCTGAGCACCTCTCTGTTTTCTTATTGTCAGTTTGGGTATCCCATTTCGTGAAGTTCTTGCTCAAATCTTGCCTATTTGTTTTCCTTATCTTAGATTTTTATTTTCTTTCAGTTTTATTGAGATATAATTGACATGCAACATTGTGTAAAGTGCACAGTGTAATGAATTGGCTTCCATATATTATGATATGATCACCACAGGAAGTTTAATGAACATCTATTATCTCATATAGATACCAAAAAAAGAAAGAAAGAAAAGTTTGAAGCTCTACTCCCTCAGCAACTTTCAAATATACTCTACAGTAGTGTTAGCTTCTAACTGGACGTTTGTACCTTAACCATCTTCATCCGTCCTCCTAGCCCCCACAATGCCCTGCCTTCAGGAACCACAAAAATGATCTCTCTTTGTGAGGTTGGTTTTTTTGTTGGTGGAGGTGGAGGTGGTGTTCATTTGTATTGTTTTGTTTTTAAGATTTTACATATAAGTCTCGCCTATTTTTTAATTTGGTTATTTTTTTCTAACTGACTTACAGGAATGCTTGATACAAATTGTGAATAGGAGCTGTTTGTTGGATTTATGTGTTTAAGATGTCTTCTCTGAGGGGCTCTGAGTGGCTCAGTTGGTTGAGCTTCCAACTCTTAATTTCAGCTCATGTCATGATATCATGGTTCGTGATATCGAGCCCCGTGTCAGGATCTGCACTAATAGCACGGAGCCTGCTTGGAATTCTCTCTCTCTCCCTCTCTCTCTCTCTCTGTCTCTTTCTCTTCCTCCCGCCCCTCTCTGCCTCTCACCCTCTCCCCCTCTGTCTCTCCCCCTCTCTCTCTGCCCCTCCCTCTCTGCCCCTCCTCTGCTTGCATGTGTGTGCTCTTTCTCTCAAAATAAATAAATAAATAAACTTAAAAAAAGTATTTTCTCCCAGTCTGCACCTGCCTTAATGAGTTTGGGCTGTTGTAACAGAGTACTGGAGGCTGGGTGGTTTATAAACAACAGGCATTTATTTCTCACAGTTCTGGAGGTGGGAAGTCCAAGATTAAGGTGCCGGCAGATTCAGGTGAGGGCCTGCTTGTTGGTTTCCAGACGTCATCTTTTCCCTGTGTCCTCACGTGGTGGGAAGGGCAGGGGAGCTGTCTGCAGTCCCTTCTGTAAAGGTGCCAATCCCCGTCATACGGCCAGGCTCCTGTCCTGATCGCCTCCCAAAGACCCCACCTCCTAATACCATCACATTGGAGTTAGGATTTCAACACATGGATTTGGGAGGAGGACAAACATTCAATCTTTAAAAGTGACTTTTTCCTTTCTCTCTTTTAATGTTGTCTTTTTATGAACAGAGTTTCTTAATTTTTCTAAGGTTTTGCTTTTTATAGTTAGTGCTTTTTATTTCTTCTTTTAAAAAACTCTTCCTGTCTCAAGATTATGAAGATATTCTTTGTTTTCTTTAAGAAGCTTTAATGCGTTTTATCTTTTACATATAGGTCCATGATTCCACTGGAATTGACCTTTGTGTATGGTGTGAGGTAGGGGGACCACACTCTTAATGTTCTTCTTTGCTCTGTAGGGGAAAAATTAAAAACAGTGTAGAGGTCATATCCTTTCTTATTTTTTCATTTTTTATTTTAGATCTACTTCTAAATTTTATTTTCGGTGAGCGTTTTAATAATTCTTTGTAGTCTGACAAGCAGGGGAATACCCTGAGGTATTTTCTTTGAAGTTGATTCCATTGTTGAGATCATGGTGAGTTTACATAATCACAGATTGATAGTTATTCTTTTGTTTTTTTCTTTTTAAATTTTATTTATTTGAGGGAGACAGAGATAGCACAAGCAGGGGAGGGGCAGACAGAGAGAGGAGAGAATCCCAAGCAGGCCCCGCCCTGCCAGCACAGAGCCTGATGTGGGGCTCACACTCACGAAACTGAGATCATGACTTGAACTAAAACCAAGAGTCAGACACTTAACTGACTGAGCCACTCAGGTGCCCCTATAATTATTCTTCTTATTGATACAGTGACAATGGATTATTTAAAATGCCGGCGATTTTATATTTAGTAACTAGTCTTGGGCTAGAAGTAACATGCAAAACTCTTCTTCCATTTATTTGGGTCCTTAATCATCATCTTAGTGATTTTTTTTTTTTTTTTGGGGGGGGGAGGGTAGTACACCTTCAGGTGTTTGGCTACTCTCTCCCTGCATTGGCGAAGTTAGCTTCTATGGAAAACTATACTTTGCACTTTCTTTCTCCATTATTTTCTTAAACTTCGTACCATAAAGAAGTGTGGCCAGTATCACTCTGATGATCTGTTGTGAACACTTGCAAATGTGGGTTTTACTTTTCTTCTTGCAGGTGCCCCCTGGTGGTCATAACTGGGCAGTGTATTAGTGATCTTTCTGTTACAGTGTCACAAAGCTTATATATATATAACAAAACAATTTTAATTCAGGTTTCTATTTTGTTGCTTTAGATATTTAACTTCTCTAGTGTTCTAATCTTCTCAGTTGCCTCAGTAGTCTTGTATTCTCATATTTTAGTGCCATCAAGACAGGAGCTTTTCTTAGCTTATTTTATTTCCTTTATACCTGAGGTCTGTAAACCATGGTGGCCAAGACCAGTCAGCTGCTTTGTTTTAAATGGTTATATATTAAGTGCTTAATAGGTACTTGCATAATAGCCTCAATTTCCCTCTTGGCCCTCAAAGCCTAATGTTAAGTGTTTACTGTCTGGCACTTTACCCCCTTCCCCGGTCAGCCTCTCAGCAGGAGTTCTCTTCTGTTTGGGCAGGTCAGTTCGTTGAGACCATCAAAAATGCCCCAGTAGGGCGCCTGGGTGGCTCAGTCGGTTAAGTTGTGAGGTCAGGTCAGGATCTCGCCGTTTGTGAGTCTGAGCCCCATGTCAGGCTCTGTGCTGACAGTGCGGAGTCTGCTTGGGATTCTCTCTCTCTCCCTCTTGCTCTGGCCATGACCCCAACTCCCGCTCTGTCTCTCTCTCTCTCTCTCTCTCTCTCTCTCTCTCAAGGTAAATAAATATGCTCCAATAGAAGCAGTGTCCTGTGAGACTAAGGACTGTAGCACCCCTGCCTTTCTCTAGACATCACTTGGAATTAGAAGAGACTTTGCCCTTTATTTCAACCTCTAGTTCCTTTCTTATACTGTGTTCTATTACGGTTTTGAAAAATACTGTTTTTTTTTTATTTTAAAAATTGTCTATTTATTTATATTGAGGGATGGTAAGGACAGAGAGAAAGACTCCCAACCAGGCTGCAGGCTGTGAGTACAGAGTCCGACGCGGGGCTCGATCTCACAAACTGTGAGATCGTGACCTGAGCCTAAATCAAGAGTGGGACACTTACCAGAGTGAGCCACCCAGGCTCCAGGGTGCTGGCTTTTAAATGTAAATGTTATACACGGTATACTTTGAGAACTGAATTGGCACTTTGATGTTTCATTAGATATTCTGTAGCCACCATGTTATTACTCTCAACAAGGCCCATGGAAGGTAGTTTCCATGTCCCGCCCCCCTCCCCCCCCCACTGCCCTGCTCCAGCCCAGACTTTGCCAGGTGATGGGCAGTGCCTTCACTGTATAGTGGGGTAACCGCTCCAGAATCACGTAGCTAGCAAGTAAGTGGTGACATGTCCTGAACATTTCCTAGAGGAACGTACAATGAGTGGTTCCTGGAAGGGGTCTGGGGACCAAATCCTACCTATTGAAGGCTTATCTTCAGTTACTAATTGTGCACTGGAACAGTAGCTTCCTATACAAATGAAGAGGAAACGTGTCTGCCTTTACTAGCATCTAACTGGTTCTCGTTGCGCCAGTGCGTTTTTGAATTTCCCATCGATACTCTGGACTTACGGCAAAATGTGAATACGCCGAGGCTCTGTACCATCGACTGATCTTGTGGGCATCTCACAAGGGCAGTTGCTCAGACTTTGTGGCGATAGGGCTTTTTCTCTTGTGTTTTCTCTCTTTGGTCCTGAGTTTATGGCCTGTCCCCTCTCGAGGGCTGGGACTGTGTCCTGCGCTTCCCTGAATACCCACCCGGTGCTTGGCATAGGGCCTGGCCGTGGTGGGTACCCACTTAGCATTTGTCAAATAAATAGATGAATTGCAGGGTTGAGACGCATCACAGCGCACTGGAGCACTCAGACTGGAATTCAGTTTCTCGTGTTGTATCTCCCCTTTGCTATTAACTGTGATTTTCGTCAGGCTCTGTGGGCCTCTGCTCATCATTTGTTACAGTGAGGGGCTTGTTAAGGTGTTCTGATAGGATCTTTTTCGATCCATAATTGTACTGTCGACTTCCCATTCTTCTGTGGGAGAATTTGCCCCCTTTTCCATCTAACTTTTCTGGATGTGTCTGGCAACTTCGGATTAAAGATGTATTTACCGTGAATTACTTCCCGCCTCCCGTTGCCATTTTGTACCCTCCAGAGTCTGTTTAGAAGGATAATTTAGTGACACGATCTGGTGACTCTGCAGCTTGGACTTCTCCGATCCTGGTTGTCTGGCCTGGTGGCCATGGCTGGGGTGGGAGGCCCCTTCCCAGCCTGCTTTGGTGCTGTATAAGGAAGGAAGCCTTAAGGTGTCTACTGTTTTCATTTTAGTGGGACCACTGTCTACCTCGTTCTCATAGACCTAATCCTCACGGAATTTAACCTTTCTGTTCTCCGTGTTCAAACTAAAAAATGGCACCAGTGATACACGCACCTCATAGTGTTACTTGGTGTAAAGTGCTGGCACAGTGCCTGGATTGCCATAAATGCTGTATAAGTCATTTGCTGTTATTTATAGAATTGTTTTTTCAGCTCTTTGGTCCCAAAACCGTGTTGCCTTTACCATCCTTAGACATTGTTGTGATCTGATTGTGTGTCTCTCTCCCCTGTGACTTGCATTTCTTCAAGGGCAGGAACCGTAGCTTACCACTCTGTCCCCGGTGTCTTACAAGTGTTTAGTCCACTTGGATGTGTTGGACTTGGAGCTGAGCTTGCCTGCAGATGGTTGGGAAGGTCTCTTTAGGCTTGGTTGTCATAGAGGTGCTACTAGGCTGGGCCTTATCACAGGCTGCTGATACCTCTTTGTTACCCTCATAGCAGAGTCAGTATTCAGATTTGCAAAGCAGACACAGAACAAAGAGAGAGAGAGAGAGTGTGTGTGTGTGTACACACATGCATACACACACACAGAGTGTAAATATATATGCCATAGTAGTTTACACAATGGGAGTCAGGAAGGCAGAGTAAGTTGTGAGGAAAATAGCATGAAACATCGGTCCTTGAATAAAATGAAGATATAATAAAGGTCAGAGTGTTTTAGTCTCTGGAGAAAATCTCTGCATGTCCAGAAAAGTGCTCTTGGAAAGACCCTTTCTTCTTTCCCCCCAGGATTTGACGGGATCTGAGCTCTACACCCCGGCAGCCAGTCTGCTGCACCCCGTGGTATATACCACCGCTGTCATTCTTCTCTTGAGCCTCTTGGCAGTCATCGCCAGTTACATATACCATCACAGGTAAGAAAGGAAACTTGGCGAATGGAGGACTTTGAGTTGGAGGAGGTCATTTCACATTGAATTAGGATAAAACTGAGTTGGACACCATGCTGTCCTTCTAGAGGAAGAGCATTTCTTTGAGAACACGTCAAGCCTCCTTCATTTCATGCGGTTTGAGGCATAAGTAATTAGTGCATGCAATGGTAAATCCATCTTTTATAGCATCCAGTCTGTTTGCATCTGGGAGAGAACATGGGAGGGACGTGTCGGGGGCGGGGAGGTGAGGCATGGGGATAGCAGTGGGTGAGGGGAGCTGGAGGCTTGTTACCTGTAGATGTGTCTTCAAGCACCAGACTATGGTGGTGCTGCTATTTTATGACTTTTTGCATGTTGTGATATTCTTTATTTTAAAGATGGCATTTGTAAGAAAGTTTGTGGCATTTAAATGTGGGATATGGTTTCTGTTAATTGGAGGCAGAGCCACAGAAACTTATTTTATGGTAAGAAATAATGAACTAAAGGGATTTGCTAAGCAAAAATTCACTTTGCAAGAGGTTTTGCCAGAATGTGTTTTCCTATTTAAGCTGGACATATATGGCATTTCTTGACATTTAGTTAAGAAACAAAAGTAGATTTTGACGTTAAACAAAGAAAGAAAGATTTCAGCATTTTGCTATGAAAGGCCAGGAAGAAATGCACTGGGCATTTAGACATGTTATCCTGGTAGGTCAGAAAAAGTAGAGATTGGCACCTTGCAGAAACATCAAGAAAGCAAACAAGCAACCCAGCTGTCATAAGACATCATAACTAGCAGAGCCCAGGTATTTCTTATTACGGAGAATTTGTTTAGCCTTTACTGGGTGCGGTAGTTCCATAAATGATTTGCCAGTTTTAGTGTAGAAGTTAAATGTTAAGAAACTATATGGAGTTAAATGTCTCAAATCCTGTGTGTGTGATAGTATATCTATTCTAAGAAAAATGTTTAAGCTTAAAACATTTACATTTGGCCTTTTATGCCGTTGAAATTGCTAACTTGTGGATGAATATTATAGTATCCTGCTTCAAATGGCTGAATATTAGTGTTTATTTTTCTTTTAACAGTTTGATTAGGATCAGTCTCAAGGGCTGGCACATGCTTGTGAACTTGTGCTTTCATATTTTCCTGACCTGTGTGGTCTTTGTGGGAGGAGTAACTCAAACCAGAAATGCCAGTGTCTGCCAAGCGGTAAGTCCAAATGAAAAGGTGAAATGGAAAAAAAAAATATTAGAAAGTAATTTCATGTTTTATTAACTGTAAAAGGAAAAATGCTTCTTCAGATTGTTTTTTCTTTAATGAAAGTTAAGCCAAGTGCCTGTCACTTACAGGTTTTGCTGGTATACTTCAGGTTTTGAACTCTTAGTTCACAATTGAACATCTGATGTAGGGAGCTTGTCTCCTCATCCTGGGGAGGTCATTGCTGCTTGATGTCTGTAATGATAGCAGACATCTAATTAAAAAAAATTGTAAGACCCTGACTTCAGCTAAGAGAAAAGTGTGTTTTCTGACCGTAGAGTTCTAAAAATTATTTCATCTATTTATGAAAAAGGTAGAATTTAAAAAAGATTTAACCGTAAGATATAAAAATCAGAAACTTGTTAGGTATGGTAAATATGAAAAATTTTTAAATATTCAGCTTTTGGGGCACCTGGGTGGCTCAGCTGGTTAGGTGTCCTACTTCGGCTCAGTTCATAATCTCGTGGCTTGTGGCGTTGAGCCGTGTGTCGGGCTCTGTGCTGACAGCTTGGAGCCTGGAGCTGCTTCAGATTCGGTCTCTTTCTCTCTCTGCACCATCCCCTCTCTCAAAATATAAATAAATATTTTAAAAAGTTTTAAAAAATTCAACTTTTAACTTCAAATAAATTGTTATATGTAACCTTAGTACGGTATTCTTATAGGATAAGTACTAAGAAATCAAAATTATTCAACATATGAATAGACATAAAATTCTCCATATTTCCTGTATTTCAATAGTGGTTTCCATATGCATTATAGCAAGTGGTGCCGTGTCGTAATTAAGAGTCCAGACTGCTTGGATTTGGATCTCAGGTTTACTGTGTATTGTTTTTATGGGCAGTTTATTTAACATTTGTTTTTTTAAGTTTATTTGCTTATTTTGAGAGTGACAGAACACAAGCAGGGGAGGGGCAGAGAGAGAAAGGGACAGAGGATCTGAAGTGGGCTCTGTGCTGACAGCAGAGAGCCCGACGTGGGTCTTGAACTCACAAACTGCAAGATCAGGACCTGAGCCAAAGTTGGACACCTAACAAACCTGGTGGCACCCCTAACTTTGATTTTTAATCCCCAAAAACACAGAACAAAAAGATATACCCTCTTCGTCAACTTCTAAGTGTACAGTTTAAGTACAATGTTGTATAGCAGATTTCTATAACTTTTTCATCTTGCATGACTGAAACACTGTACCTGTTAAACAGCAACTTCCTATTCCCATCCCCTCCCTGCTCCGGGCAACCTGTTCTACTTTCTGTCACTATGAGCTTGACTACTTGGATACATCGTCCAAGTGGACTCCTGCGGTATTGAGTCCTTCTGCACCTGAGTGGCTTATTTCACTTCACGTAAGGTTCTTGAGCAAGGTTCTTGAGCAAGGTTCATCCATGTTGTAGCATGAGACAGGATTTCCCTCCTTTTTAAGGCTGAATAATATTTCATTGTATGGATGTACCACATTTTATTTATCCATTTATCTGTTAATGGATCTGCAAGTTATTTCCATCTCTTGGCTGTTGTGAATAATGTTACAGTGAACATAGGCGGTGCAGATATATCTTTAAGACCCTGTGATTTCAATGTTTAACCTTTCTGTGTCTCAGTTTTCTCACCCATAAATTGGGAATAATAATTGAGTTATTATGTGATTTTTTATATACGAAAAATCCTACAGTAATTTACAGATAAATTATTTGAAGTAATGGGAAGGTTTAGCCAGGAGTGAACTTCCAGAGTTTGATGCTAGCTTGCAGAAATAACAACTCTCAGAAATCGTAATTAATGTGAAGGTGCCATTTATATGGTATCAGAGAACATCAGGTACCAAGAAATAATAAAAGATGTTCACGATTTACAGGCAAAATTGTAATAAGTATTAAGACCTAAGTAAATGGAAAGTTACACAGGCCCAAGTGTTAATTAATATCAGAAGTGGCAATTCCTCTGAAACTAATATATACATAAAAGAATTTTTTATGAAGCTCAATAAAATGGTTTTAAAATTTACATTAAAAGCAAAGGAGCGAAGACAAAGATAGCCAAGACCTTTCTGCAAAGGAAAAGTAGAGCAAGGAGACTGCCCTCCTGACCATCGGAACTTACAGGGCTCTTGTCATTAACGCTGTGGCATTTGGTGTAGGGAGAAGGGCCAGTGCAATCAGAAAAGCAACTCCACAGCAGACCCGTGGGGAACTCTGGTGTGAGACCGAGGTTGTGCGCCTCAACCGCTGGCCAGAGAGAGACCTCTGTGCAGTATAATAAAAAGGAGCTGGGAAAATCCATGTGGAAAAACAGTACAGTCATCCCTTATAAAAAAAATGTCAACTCGAGGTGGATTAGAAACTACCATGGCTAAGCCAAAATGCTAAAATTCATATTAGGAAATATCACAGTCCTTGGGATAAGGGATGTCTTAATTATGACACTAAAAGACATTGATTAGAAGAGAGATCATTTTAACAGAATTAAAAATACGAGCTTTTGTTAATTAAGATTCCTTGATGAAAGTGGAAAGACAGCCTAAAGTTATTTTATTATTATTATTATTTTTTTTTTTTTTTTTTTTACTCACAAGTTAATTAACATACAGTGTAGTCTTGGCCTCAGGAGTGGATTCCCATGATTCATCACTTGCGTACAACACCCAGCGCTCATCCCAACAAGGTCCCTCCTCCATGCCCATCACCCATTTACCCCACCCCAGTCAACCCTCAGTTTGTTCTCTGTATTTAAGAGTCTCTTATGGTTTGCCTCCCTCTCTGTTTTTATCTTATTTTTCCTTTCCTTTATCAATGATCATCGAGTGAGTTTCTCAAATTCCACGTGAGTGAAATCCTGTTTTACCTGGAAGATGCTCTTCTTAACACATACTACTGAAAGGGCATTAGAATAAAAAATACATTAAAACTATAATCAATGAGAATGCCTGCCCCAAACAACCCAGTAGTAAAGGTGGCAATAGTGGACAGGCTTTTCATAGAGGAGAATATATGCACAGTCAGGCAGTGTACACGGAAAGAGGTGCTCGTAGAGGAGAATATATGCACAGTCAGGCAGTGTACACGGAAAGAGGTGCTCAGCAGCGTGGGTGGCTATGGAGATGCAAATTAAGACAGTGAGGTAACATTTATGCCTTTTCTGTCAGCAAAAATCAAGCCTGACAGTGCCAGGTCATGAAGAACATGTGGGTCCACCTGTTTTATACATCGTGGGTGGGAATGTATGCTGATTCTGGGAGCTTTCCTGGAATCAAAGAGCGAGCTCACCCATTTGCAACAGACTGTGTGTGTGTGTGTGTGTGTGTGTGTGTAGGAGTATATGCATGCACATGAATATTCATAGCACAGTGCACAATAGAAAAAACCTGGAAGCAACCCAAATGCCCATCGGAGAGAGAGTGGATGAATAAACTGTGATATCATGCAACAGTCAGAACTAATGAATTACAACAATGTATAACAATATGAGTAAGTCTTAGGAATATACCTGAAAAAATTAAGTCCTGTAAATATCATCCACCCCGTAGTCTTTTTTTATAAAGAAAAACTAAAATGCAACAGCTTACTTTTAATGGAAATATGTAGATACAGTACAGCTATAGAAGGAAGGCAAAGGGATGATAAACATAAGGTATAGGATAATGATTACCTGGGGTGAAGGGGATTATATTATTTGATACCGGTTTTGATCAAGGCTTTACCTTTTGTCTTAAATAGACAAGATAGATTCTTAGATGCTTACAAACAATAACTAATTAAATAAAAGCAGGCCATGCTTGGTCTAGTCATTAAAATGTCTCATGATCCTAAGGCTGACAATTAATCCAGTATTATAGAGCCAAACTCCACCTTAAAACAAGTGTGTGTAAGAATCGTAGAGAGGATTAAGGAACTCAGGAATACGTAGTATACAGAAAGTGCTCAGTAGATAGTAGCTATTATTACTGCTCTCATTAGTGACAAAGTCACCTCTCAACTTTGCAGAATACTTCTGTCATAGGCCATTAGTATGCGTTGAAAAACAAACGTGATTGGAGCCTACGAGAGGTCAGAGAATGGGTCTCGGGTCAACTGAATCCATGCATGGAAGATAGTCTTCTGTTTTCTCAGCCCTTCCCTTCTTCTGATTTCTCTTCATCCAGTTTGTAGGTCTCAGTTTTACTGGTACTGTTTGAGAGATACCGTCCCTCCCCTTCTCTCCCTTCATTATCCTATGGTGTTTATTACATTTCCATGATGCCTCCGGAACTTTGCAGTCAACTGGCATTTACTTGTTCACTGACTCTGGACTCGACGCTCTGGAAGTGCAGGAACTCCATTGGTTTGATTCACCTATGTTTATCCAGGAATCAGCACAGGACCTGACCTAGAGTAGGTGATACTGGATGCTTAGCAAATATTTATTGGGCGAATGAGCAGAAAAAGGCCTCTGTTTACAAATAGTAGAAATCATTCAACCCTGGAGCCATCCTGAGCATCCCCTCATAGGAGAGTGCCCAGCACACAGTGGTAGTAGTCTCACTTTTCTCTAAAACTGTTCATTGTTTTCACGGAGCAGACATACTTATTTCACTACAGGAATAACTAGAAAGAGGTCTTTGTGAAGATGACTGCCTTTCATTGTCCTGGATGATATTTTATACCATTTCTAGGAAGAAAAGGAGAGGAATTTGTACGGAGTATCTGTGGTCTCTATGCTCCAGGTCCATTATTTAAAGATTTATTTATTTCTTTTTTAAATGGGAGAGGCAAGTCTTTATGTTTTCATATGTCATGTTCTTCTGTTTTTACAATGTTCTCCCCTTCTTCTATGAAAGACATTCTTGCTGCTTCTGACTTAGACATGCCTGGCTTGGCTCTGCTGTTGTGGTAGTTCCGTTAGGAGACAGCCGAGCGGGAGTTGGTAGAAAGCATGCAGCACTGGTCTGGGGCTCCAGACACTAGTAGGTAGGTTCTAATTCCGCGTCCTCCAGAATGACGAGTATGACTAGCCACTTAACCTAGTAGGGACTTAATGCTTCTTCTGTAAAATAGTGGGTTCGGCTAATTAACTTCAATGACCATTAAGGTTCTTCCAGCTGAAATCCTAAGGTTCTAAAACACAACCCTAAGGTGTACATATCTTACATGCAGTTTTATATGTGCACCTGATGAATGTAGTTTTGTGTTTCTTATCTCCCTTCTTAGTGCTCGTGTATTTTATGAATGGCGAAAATGGGTACTAATATAGTTTCCTCCCCACCCACAGTGATTGGTTGAGGTTATTCAGGGTGCACAGGCACCAGCCAGGCCCTTCCCACCCTGTGTCATAAGTCCGTTCCAGGTGGTACCATGGGTACATTCTACAGCCTTTACTCTCCTTGGCAAAAGGAGCCAAAGGGGAGTAAGAAGCTGAGGAGCCAGGACTGTTGACTCCAGGTTGGGAAGGTTCTGGGCCGTGATGTGCTGCCAGATAATTGTCTGATAACTAAATTTTCTGGTCCTTGGTTTTCTTAGCTGTGCAGTGAAAAGACTTGGTCGGATCTTACCTAAGTCCCCTTGTCACTCTACCATTCCATGATTTAATCTATTAAACACCGTGCCGGCTGACCTTCTCTGGTGTCCTTTTGTATCTCTTATCTAGAGTTCTTCTGCAATGACACGTGAAATGCATTGGGGAAATATAATCAGTGAATATTAAGAGTCGACTTGCCAACTACTGCAAATGTGTTATCTTAACTTTCATGTTAACCCTGGGAAGTACTTCTTACTCGTCTCTTTCATCAGTACAGAAATTGAGTCTTGGGGAATTGAAACAACTTGCCCCAAATCACTGGGGCTGTTAGTTAGGTGGCAGAGGCGTGATCCAGACACTGGTCTCTCTGACTCAGGCGCAGCCCCCCCCCCCCCCCCCAACCATTGGGCTTCACTGTTCAGTGACCACATGGCGTAATAGAAGGGCCATGGGATTTGGAAACCAGCAGGCGTGAGTTTCCGTTGCAGGCCTGTCACTGACCAGCTGACCTCAGCCACAGTGTCCTTGACTGCAACTCAAGGTTAATAACACTTACTGAATGGTGACGTTAGAAGGATAAGTGGTAGCACGTACAAATTGTCTAATACGTTTTTTGGCACACAGCAGGCAGTCATTAGTGGAAGCTATTATTATTTTGTATGTATTCATACATGATTATGTGAATATTAAAGATAATTTTTTGCACACTTGCTATACACATGGGATAATATCTTAGGTTCATTGGTTAAAAATATGGTTGTTAAAATGTTTGGTCTCTAGTTTGTGAGAGTGCTTAGATAGCCTATATATAAAGTGCAGCTCTTTTTTTTTAAGTTTTAATTTTTTAAATTTTATTTTGAGAGAAGAGAGAGAGGATCGCAAGGAGGCTCTGCAGCGTCAGCATGGAGCCTGACTCAGGGCTCAAACTCACAAACCGTGAGATCATGACATGAGCTGAAATCAAGAGTCAGGCACGTAACTGACTGAGCCACACAGATGTCCTTAAAGTGCAACTTTTTTTTTTGATGTTTTATTTCTGAGAGAGAGAGAGAGAGCGAGAGCGTGAGCAGAGAGGGTCAGAGAGAGAGGGAGACACAGAATCTGAAACAGCACAGAGCCTGACGTGGGGCTCGAACCCACGAACTGGGAGATCATGACCTGAGCTGAAGTCGGACACTTAACCGACTGAGCCACCCAGGCGCTCCAAATTGCAGCTCTTTAGGGTAATTATTATATATCCATTTTACAGTTTTGGAAACTGATGTCCTGAGGTCAGGTGACTTCATTAATCATTTACATGCCCTATGAATTAGATTACTTACTCCCAAACTTTACAGACCTTCCACGTGTACTTTTAATTTTTTTTAATGCTTATTTATTTTTGAGAGAGAGAGAGAGATTGCACGCGCGCATGCACTAGGGGAGGGGCAGAGAGAGAGGAAAACAAAGAATCCAAAGCCAACTCCAGGGTCTGAGCTGTCAGCACAGAGCCAGACGCAGGTCTCAAACTCATGAACCACAAGATCATGACCTGAGCCAAAGTTGGACACTCAAGCAACTGAGCCACCCAGGCGCCCCTCCACATGCATTTCTAATGCATGAAATTTGACAGTGAGGTTGTATTTCAAGGCTCTGATAGAGAATACAGTAGGAAGTACCCCATTCCAAAAGCTAGTCTACCAGTTACTACCAGCCACTGGCAGCTACTCTACCAGTTCTCAGTTTCTCCTCTTTCTGTTTTTTTTTTTTCTTAATAGTTCATGTCAAGTTGGTTTCCATATAACACCCAGTGCTCATCCCCACAAGTGCCCTCCTCCATGCCCATCACTCCCCTTCCTCTGCCCCTCCCCCCCATACTGATCATGAGAGACTCTTGAAGGTTGAGAACAAACTGAGGACTGATCGGTATGATCCTCTTTCTGGTTCTTGTGGAAGATTTGCTTACATGATGGTTACTAAGTGACATCAGACTCCTAAAATTCTACTATTGGAAATGTTTGACTGAAGCCTTCATTAATTTCAAGCATGAATACTTCTGGAAATTTTGAAACACTGTAGAAAACACTTCAGCATCTAAAGGTTGAGTTTTCCCGCCTTGATCTAAAACAAGAAAATGCTCCTTCTTGCACCTCCTGTGTTGAAAACGTTTTTACTCCTATGTTTTAAACGTATTTACTTCACAGCTCTGTCTCATTCTTCCGATCTTGGCATCAGCAAAGACTCCAGCGCTAGTAAAGGCTGCCATTTTGATTTGTCTCGAATGTTTTGGTGTCTGTGTACCAAATTCATGTACACTACTTTTACTTCTAGTATTTGGTGTGACTCCAGATAGCTTAAGGTTAGTTTTCTGCTATTTGTTCCACTTTCCTCTGTAAGTTTTGCTTTTACAGTACAGTCAGTAAAAAACTAATGGAAACCAAGGAGCCACTTTTCTCCTTACAAAGAAAGTCATTTTGAGTTTTCTAGTTAGGCCAAGCTGGTCCACACTGCCGGCCCTTCCCATGTCAGTGCAAGGTTCATGATGGACAGTGACTACCCTTGTTTTTGTCCTGCAAAATAAGTCTTGGGTTTTCATTTGTTTGATTTTGGCTGATCATTGGTTCCCATCAAAATTTCTGGGCTACGATCTAAATGCTTGTATTACTGACCTTGGTTTGGTGGTGGCTTGGATCTTTTTAGAATGAAAAAGGTTTTCCTGGAGACTTTCAGTGATAGGATTTTACCTGTGATAATTGTTTAAAAAGAAATGATTAAAAGATAGTAGGTAAGAAAGCTGAATTATGCCCCTGATGCTCCAGTGACACACTTGTTTTTCTCAAAAGGGATTTTAAGGCTTTCTTAGCCCCAATATATAGCCTCACCTAGAATTTTGTCTTCAGCTAGAGTATTTCACACTCAGGTCACATAGTAAACATAGTAAACATACTGACTCTCCATCACCCCTCTGAAGGAAGAAACTTAATTAGTGTGACCATTACATGTACTACGGTTATCCACTCTTAAATGGGTATCTATTGTGTCTTAAATATTGTGCCCACATAGTCCCTACAAAAATGCTAGAGATCATTATTGATAATCTTCCCACTCTTCAAATGGAGGAAATTAATTTAGAGAGATGACATTATTTACTTAAAAGCATACTCTTATTGGTAATAATAAAAATAAAGATAACATTTTTCTTGATTACTTATCATGTGCCAGGAAATGTGCTAAATGCTTTATGTAGGCTCTCTTAGTTAGCCCCACACTACTTTCATATCTCTTTTCTGTTTACCATCGAAGAAACCAATGCTTGAAATGTTATGTGACTTTGCTAAGGTAGCATAGCAGGTAAGGGGTGGATGGTGGGTTTAAAACCAGGCACAAGTTGTTGATTCTAGACCTCACTCTCTTAACCACCAATGTATTACCTTGCCTTCTAACCATTACCATATATAATAGTTCTGAATTAGAATGACTCCACTCTGTCACACTAAAGCTTATTCTCTGGTTATTGTGACTTTCCCCCTCTGGTTACCCTTGCCCTCTACATTCCTCCTTAAAATGGGCGTCAGAAACTAAACTGTAATTTATAACATCGCATCCCTGAGGAACATACCGCTGGTTTAATGATATTGAAAAGCCACTTCTGTGGTATATTATGGGTTATCTTGGGTATAAATTGTATGTAGTGTGTGGGCCCCCTAGATCCAAATGTTGGTTTGTCTGTTAGGGGACATAACCCTCAGTCACAAGTGTATTAGAGTTGCATGTTTCATTCGTGGGCAAAGGAACTAATCTTCAGACGATACCTTCATACTGCTTTTGAATCATATTTTTGAAAGTTACCCAGTTATTTTTGGTAAACCTTGGTGGCAGCTACTACTGAAGAATTTTTTTTTTTCCTTTTAGCTTACATACATTGTTCAATCTTCTTTCTAGGTTGGAATAATTCTTCATTATTCCACTCTTGCTACAGTACTATGGGTGGGAGTGACAGCTCGAAATATCTATAAACAAGTCACTAAGAAGGCTAAAAGATGTCAGGATCCTGATGAACTACCACCTCCACCAAGACCAATGCTCAGGTATTTAATATCTTTGTTTACTGTATTACAGTAAATGTTCATTAAACATTTCACTTAGCTGAGGCTTCATCATAACGAAACAACGCTGAGTAAGTTTTGGGGAGTACCTCGTGGACTTGGAAGCTGGGCTTCCTGGGTTCGGGTACTGGCTATACAGTCTTCCAGCCGCGAGCCTTTCGTGAAGTTCTGTACCCTCTTCATGCCTCCCTCTCTCATCTATAAAGTGGGGATAACTAAGTGCCTTAATGTGTGAAGAGCATTTAATTGGCTTTAGGAAAAAGTTAACTTTTTATTTCTTTGGGGCCATGTCTGAGATTTTAACCTACTTAAGTGTATTTCAGTGTAATAATTCCCTACAAAAGACAACATAGTTTTGGAGTTCTACCCTTCTTCCCCATTATAAGGAGAAAATAACGGATTATCATGATGGATAAGTAAAATTTTACCAACAGTGACTGAGTTTATTGAATGCTGGCTGTGTACCTGGCACCGGACCAGGGACTTAAGCTGTCCTGCCTTTGAGGGGTTTACCGTCTGCATGAGGAGACTGTGAAGAACCAGCTGTGGGCTGTGTAAGAATGTTACACAGTGGAGATACAGTCTTTTCAAAGTACAAACAAAGGCACCATTAATTTGGGGGGATGGTGGTTGTTAGGAAGTATTGACCATTAGTGATGATCCTTCATTAGTGATTAGAGCAAAGTGGAGAAGGGACACTCCAGAGACAGGATTACATGGTGAGTGAGCTGAGGAAACTTTGAGAAATGCAGTTCGGCTGGAGCCTATAGTGTGTGGTGGAGAGTTGCCAGAATGCAGGGTGAAAGTTCCGTTTCAGGCTTTTGGGAGCCATGTTAAAATGTGTGCAGCCCTTGAAGAATTACCTAAGGCAGTGGCCCGACTAGTTACCTTTTTAGAAGGACAGGTTTGCCTTAATATAGAGCAAAATTTGGAGAGCCTGAGAGTAAGGAGTTCTGGTGAGGTTATTAGGGTGGTCCCCGTGAGAACTGAAACCAGAACAGTGTCATGGAGAAGAGAGGGGGTGTGTGTTCAAGACACTTGAGGCAGCTTCTCTGGGATTGATGGCCAACTAACTGGTTTAAAACATGTGGCAGGGAGAGAATTCCAAGATGGTTACAAATCGCCATAGTTTAGCGAGGGAACCCGGCACATGTTGCTCCTGTCAGCTGAGAAAACAATACAGGAAATGTACAATGGGGGTGGGGAGGGTAAGAACAGGGGAGGTAGGCTCAGTAGTACTTTTTGTGAGAATTGTACATTTTTGGGAACCTGGTGCTCAGCAAGGAAGACATGCTAGGCATTTTACAGGCAGGACAGGAGATATTTTCCATGTGTGATCATTGAAGCAATGATAATGAACCAAATTCCCCAGGGAGAAGTTAGTTAAAGAATGGTCCCAGGGCCATGTTGATATTTAATAGATGGGCCATAGCAAGTAAAGGGAAGAATAGAAAGAGAACACTTGAGAACATACAAGATTCAGGGGGGTGAATGGGCCCCTGGTTGATTAAGGGACAACAGGAGTGCTTAACTAGAGTCAGGTTATAGATGCAATTGTCACTTGTGATAAAAGATCTGAGAGATGGTGTTTGATTAAGAAATTTGGGGATCCAGTCCTCTGAAGCTATTCCTTCCTACTGTTAGGTTCTGAGGAAAAACAACAACAACAACCCCAAATGTTAAGTAAAAGTTCTAAATACGGTAAAACCTTGGTTTGCGAGCATAATTCATTGTGGAAGCATGCTTGTAATCCAAAGCACTTGTATATCAAAGTGAATTTCCCCATAAGAAATAATGGAAACTCAGATGATTTGTTCCACAACCCAAAAATACTCTATAATAGTGATTACAATACTGTAATATAATCCAAAATAATAAAATACAAAATATAAAGAAAAATAACCTGCACTTTCCTTTGAAAACCTTTCTGGCTGGTGTGAGGGAAACAAGAGAGAGGAAGGTTATTGTGTAGGGCAACTTTCACTATCAGTAACGGATGTTGACTGTAGCACAGTATTAATAAACTCTTATACTGTATTTAATGTAAGTGGCAATAAGACAGCAGAGGAAAGGGTCTGTCTCTTCAGGCAGCCTGACGTAGAATGAAGCAAAGCATTCCTAAGCTTCCTCTTATATGGAAAAGCAAAGGACTGTCCATAGGTGCTTGAAGTGACAAAAAGTACCCTAGTGCCTGTTGTGGGCACCTTCCAGCCCTTTCCAGTTCTGAAAAATCACTGATTTCTGCCAAATACCACGGCCTAAGACCGAGCCTCCAAGCATGGGAGATGATCACCCACAATTCTACGAGAGAGAGAAACCATTGGCTCAGTGTGATCGTGTGACATTCAGCATCACTTACTACTCGTATTGCAAGCCATCACTCATTTATCAAGTTAAAATTTATTAGAAATGTTTGCTTGTCTTACGGGACACTCGCAGAACACGTTCCTCGCAATACAAGGTTTTACAGCACTGCCTTTATCCAGCCAGCTCAGCACTGGGACGGTGTCTCTAGAAGTGGCAAATGCAGTTAAGATTCTGACCGTACCCAGCAGGACGTGACCAGGGCACAAAGTTCCTACTTTCTCTAATCAGGGAGCTCAAAGTAGCTCTTCAGAAAAGAAGTTTCTCTATGTAGGACTCACCACCACTCTGTGTCCCTCAGTTCTTACTGCATAATCGTTTTCCTTGCTCTTCCCAGTGAGTCCACAGGAAAAAGGTCAGGAAGGGCCTGGCACTGTGTGAGGCTGAGATGGGGCACCTCCTTGCCTCAGTGACTAGGGATAAGTATACACAGCAGTGAGGTGTCCTGCAACAGACAGGCATAGCCAGACATTAATAAACAATATTTTGTGTGAACTGTATGGCGCAACGAGACCTTAAAGTCCGTTTTGTGATGAACTAACTTCCTGGTTCGCCAGCTGAATGTAAAGGAAGCCAGTTAGTTCCTGTGGAAAGAAAAGCCTGTCAACTAAAACCCTACCTGCAGTAGCCCTGCCTATCCACAGGGTGGCAGAAGCCGATCAGCTTTCCTCAAGTGGGAAACTTGGTAGCCTTCTTAAGGGGGGGAAAAAAAGCAATCCAAAAAAAAATTTTAAAACTTGTTACAAAGTTATTGTTTAAAGGGGCGCCTGGGTGGCTTAGTCGGTTAAGCGTCAGACTTTCGCTTGGGTCATGTTCTCGCAGTTCGTGGGTTCGAGCCCCGCGTCGGGCTCTGTGCTGACTGCCAGCTCAGAGCCTGGAGCCTGCTTCAGTCTGTGACTCCCTCTCTCTCTGACCCTCCGCTGCTCACGCTGTCTCTCTCTCTCCTAGAAATAAATAAAAATATTAAAAAAAAAAAAAGTTATTGTTTAAAGGCTCCAAAAGTGTATCTCCAGTTTATTATTGGGATAGGAATAATACTTAATCATTAAGGAATGACTGTTGCAGTACCAAGACACTGGGGTGGGTGCACCTTACTAAATAAGTGGGAACGGTGAGCTGACATTCACATTGTCCCTCTTCCAGGTTCTACCTGATCGGCGGTGGCATACCCGTCATAGTTTGTGGTATAACAGCAGCAGCGAACATCAAGAATTACGGCAGTCGGCCAAATGCACCCTAGTGAGTGTTTTGTGTTCTTTGCGTACCTGACCCCAGTTGCTTCTCTTTTGGTGATTTCCCAGGCCGGGACTCTGCTGTAGTTCCCGGAGCCAGTGGCTGCCATTAGCATCTGAACTGGTTTCCCATTTCCTTTCCTAGCTGCTGGATGGCGTGGGAACCCTCCTTGGGAGCCTTCTACGGGCCTGCCAGCTTCATCACGTTTGTGAACTGTATGTACTTCCTGAGCATATTTATTCAGTTGAAAAGACACCCTGAGCGCAAATACGAGCTGAAGGAGCCCACAGAGGAGCAGCAGAGGCTGGCGGCCAATGAGAATGGCGAAGTCAATCGTCAGGATTCCCTGTCTCTGTCTCTGATTTCGACGTCTGCGTTGGAAAATGAGCACACTTTCCATTCTCAACTTTTGGGGACCAGTCTTACCTTGCTCTTATATGCTGCTTTGTGGATGTTTGGGGCCTTGGCGGTTTCCTCGTACTACCCTTTGGACTTGGTGTTTAGCTTCTTTTTCGGAGCCACGTGTTTGAGCCTCAGTGCATTCATCGTGGTTCACCACTGCGTCAATAGGGAGGATGTTAGACTTGCGTGGATCATGACCTGCTGCCCAGGCCGGAGCTCATACTCTGTGCAGGTTAACGTACAGCCCCCCAGCTCTAGTGGCGTGAATGGAGAGGGGCCTAAGTGCACCAACAGCAGTGCAGAATCTTCATGCACAAACAAGAGTACATCGAGCTTCAAAAATTCCTCCCAGGGCTGCAAGTTAACCAACTTGCAGGCTGCGGCTGCTCAGTGCCATACCAATTCCCTGCCTTTGAACTCCACACCTCAGCTTGATAATAGTTTGACAGAACATTCAGTGGACAATGATATCAAAATGCACGTGGCACCTTTAGAAGTTCAGTGTCGAACAAATGTGCACCCAAGCCGCCATCATAAAAACAGGAGTAAAGGACACCGGGCAAGCAGACTCACGGTCCTAAGAGAGTACGCCTATGACGTCCCAACCAGCGTGGAAGGCAGTGTGCAAAATGGCTTACCTAAAAGCCGGCCAGGCAATAATGAAGGGCACTCAAGGAGTCGAAGGGCTTATTTAGCCTACAGAGAGAGGCAGTACAACCCACCCCAACCTGATAGCAGCGATGGCTGTAGCACACTTCCAAAGAGCGGCAGAAATTTTGAAAAGCCCGTGTCAAATAGTAGTAAAAAAGATGCCTTAAGGAAGCCCATTGTAGTTGAACTTGAAGGTCAGCAGAAGTCTTATGGACTCAACTTGGCCATCCAGAATGGACCAATCAAAAGCAGTGGGCAGGAGGGCCCCTTGCTGGGTACAGATAGCACTGGCAATGTCAGGACTGGGCTATGGAAACACGAGACCACTGTGTAGCGGTGGTGGGCTTCCTCGGCCGAAATCTGCACAGACCGTGATGTCCGCATTCCTTCACGCCAGGACTATGTGAAAACAGACTGTTTACAGCCACCTTAGGGAGTCAAATCAATTTTGAATAAACTTCAAAGTTTGGGATCTTTATTTTATATCCCCCAATTGTGTTTTTTTATGAATTGAAAAGAAAAACCCTCCAAAGCATCGTTTTCATTGTCAGAGCACCAGCGGGACTTTGAGCATCTGAAATGTAATTTCTTGGAATCTGTTCTGTCTACTTAGCATTTCAGGCTTGTATTTAATACAATAAATAGGTATTTGTCATTGTGTCAGTCTCACTTTTTTTTTTTTTAATGCTTATTTTTGAGAGAGAGAGAAAGACATGAGCGGGGGAGGGATAGAAAGAGAGGGAGACACAGAATCTGAAGCAGGCTCCAGGCTCTGAGCTGTCAGCACAGAGTGTGACTTGGACTCAAACTCCTAGACCATGAGATCATGACCTGAGCCGAAGTCGGATGCTTAACTGACTGAGCCACCCACACGCCCCATACATTTTTATATTTTATAAGAGAAGCATGTAGTTCTATTTTAATTGTGTTTATACATGGAGGTATTTTAATGAGAATTATATGTAAATCAATTAGCAGACTCTGACATAATTAACTCCACTGATTATGACATATAAATCAAAGCTCGTTTGGATTAATGTATTTTATAAATATCATCTTAAATGCTACAAGTCTTTGAAAAGATGTCATGGAATTTTTTTTTGAAATGGAAGTGCCTCACAAGCTCTCTAAATTGAATTACTTTGCCTTATCACTTTGGTCCTTTTAATATTGTTTTGTTACTTTTGTGGATTTCTAGTGATTTATATTTGGGTTCAATTTTTTTAATCATTCCTTTTTTTCTCCCCCCAAGCACATGCATTATCCTTGGACCATGTAAGTTGTTCAGGTACAACCATATCAGTTGGGTTCACATTCACTTACTCTGATTCTTCAGTATTGGCTCTTCTGTTGGCTCTTGCTTTGTTCTCAGACAGATAAAGTTCCTCAGGTTCATCCTGAAGTACTGATCTTTAAATTCCATTATAAGCTCAAAAACCCTGATCCAGATGTTACCATTAGTCACTCATGCACTACGGTCCTTAACCATCTCTGTTCCTTAGTCTCACTGCAGTCCATTCCTGGAACCCCCCCTTTTTTTTAATGTTATTTAATGTGTTGCATTATTTTAAAAAATTTTAATTCCAGTATAGTTAATGTGCAGTGTTATATTAGTTTACATTAGTATACATTACTCAGTGCTTGTAAAGATAAGTGTACTCTTGATCCCCATCACCTACTTCAAGCATCCCTTCGCCAACTTCTCCTCTGGTAACCATTAGTTTGTTCTCTGTACTGTCTGTTTCTTGGTTTGTCTTGTTTATTCCTTTGTTCAGTTGTTTTGTTTCTTAAATTCCACATGAGTGAAATCATATGATATTTATCTTTCTCTGACTGTTTCACTTAGCATTATACTCTGTAGCTCTATCCATGTTGCATGCAAATGGCAAGGTCTCATTCTATTTCATGGCTGACTAGTATCACTATATACATATATATTATATATATAATCACAGAGCCCAATGCGGGGCTCGAACTCACAAGCCGTGAGATCATAACCTCAGCCATATGTATATAATGTGATATATATACACATACACAGACATACCACATCTTTTTTATCCATTCACCTATTAATGGACACCTGGGCTGTTTCCATAAAAATTTGACTATTGTAAATAATGCTCTAATAAGCATAGAAGCATATATAGTTTTTGAAGTAGTGTATTCATATCTTTTGTGATGTATTCATAACTTCATGGTGGAATTACTAAACCATATGGTCATCCTATTTTTAATTTTTTGAGGAACGTCCATTCTGTATTCCGCACTGGCTACACCAGTTTGCCTTCCTACCAACAATCCACAAGTGTTCCTTTTGCTACATCCTCACCAATGCTGGTTGTTTCTTGTGTTTTTGATTTCAGCCACTCTGACAGATGCTAGGTGATAACTCATTGTGTTTTGATTTGCATCTCCCTGATAAGTGATATTGAGCATCTTTTCATGTGACTGTTGGCCATCTGGATGTCTTCTTCGGAGAATAGTCTATTCATGTCTTCTGCCCATTTTTAATTGGAGTCTCTTTTTTTGATGTTAAGTTGTATTCTTTATACATTTTGGATACTACCCTTTATTTAATTTATCATTTGCAAATATCTCCTATTCAGTAGCTTGTCCTTTAGTTTTGTTGGTTTTTTTCCTTTGCTGTGCAGAGGTTTTGTTTTTGTGTTGTTGTTGTTGTTGTTGTTTAAAAGAGAGTGTACGCACACAAGAGAGCAGTGGCTGGGGCAGAGGAAGAGAGAGAAAGGTCATCTTAAGTAGGCTCCATGCCCAGTATGGAGCCCAGTTGCAGGGCTTGATCTCACAATTGTGAGATCATGACCTGACCTGAAATCAAGAGTCACTTAACTCACTAAGCCACCCAGACACCCCTGTGCAGGAGCTTTTTATTTTGATATAGTCCTATAGTTTATTTTTGCTTTTGTTTTTCTTGCCTCAGGAGAGAGATCTAGAAAAATGTTGCTATGGCCGATGTCAGAAATTACTGCCTATGCTTCTAGGATTTTTACGGTTTCAAGTCTCACATTTAGGGCTTTTTAAATTTTTTGATTTTTTTACATTTATTTATTTTCGAGAGACAGAGACAGAGCACAAGTAGGGGAGGGGCAGAGAGAGAATGAGACACAGAATCTGAACATGCTCCAGGATCTGAGCTGTCAGCACAGAGCCTGACAGGGCCTTGACCCTCACAAACCATGAGTCATGACCTGAGCCGAAGTCAGAAGCTTAACCAACTGAACCACCCTGGTACCCCTTACATTTAGGTTTTTAATCTATTTTGAGTTTATTTTTTATAAAGTGTAAGAAAGTGGTCCAGTTTCATTCTTTTGCATGTGGCTGTCCAGTTTTCTGAACACCATTTGTTGAGACTATCTTTTTCCCATTGTATATTCTTGCCTCCTTTGTAGAAGACGAATCAACCATATAATTGTGAGCTTATTTCTGGCCTCTCTATTCTGTTCCATTGTTGTTTGTATCTATTTTTGTGTCAGTGGCATACTGTTTTGATTACTACAGTTTGGTGGTATATGTTGAAATCTGAGATTGTGATACCTCCAGTTTTGTTCTTCCTTTTCTGGATTGCTTTGGCTATTTGGGATCTTTTGTGGTTCCATACAAATTTTAGAATTGTTTGTTCTAGTTCTGTGAAAAATGCTCTTGGTATTTTGGTAAGGATTGCATTAAATCTATAGACTGCTTTGGGTAATGTGGACATTTTAACTCTATTTGTTCTTCCGGTCCATGAACATGGAATATCTTTCCATTTGTTTGTGTTGTCTTCAATTTTCTTTCATCAGTGTTTTATAGTTTTCAGACCGTAGATCTTTCATCTCCTTACTTAAGTTTATGCCTAGGTATTTTATTATTTTTGATGCAATTGTAGGTGGGTTTGTTTTCTTAATTTCTGTTTTTCCTACTTCATTTTTACTGTATAGAAATGCAGTGCATAAATTGATTTTGTATCCTGTGACTGTACTGAATTCTTTTATCGGTTCTAGTAGTTTCTTTATGGAGTCTTTCAGATTTTCTGTATATAGTATCATGTCATTTGCAAATATGAAAGGTTTATTCTTCCTTACCAATTTGGATAGCTATCATTTCTTTTTGTTGTCTGATTGCTATGGCTAGGACTTCCAGTACTATGTTGAACAAAAGTGGTGAAAATGGACATCCTTGTCTTATTCCTGACCTTAGGGGAAAAGCTCTCCATTTTTACCCATTGAGTATGATGTTTGCTATGGGTTTTTCATATATGGCCTTTATTATGTCGAGCTATGTTCCCTGTAAACCTACTTGGTTTTGAGGGTTTTTATCTTGAATGCATATTATACTATCCATTGTAGTGATCATGTGGTGTTTATCCTTTCTCTTCTTGATGTGATGTAGCATGTTGATTGATTTGCAAATATTTAACCATGCTTACATCTCAGGAATAAATCCCACTTGATCGTGGCAGATGATTTCTTTAATGTATTCTTTGATTTGGTTTGCTAATACTTTGTTGAGGATTTTTACATCTTTGTTCATCAGAGATATTGGTCCATAGTTCTCTATTTATGCAGTGTATTTATCTGGTCTTGGTAGGATAATACTGGCCTGAAAGAATGAATATGGAAGTTTTCCCTCCTCTTCTATTTTTGGAAAAGTTTGAGAAGAATAGCTATTAACACTTCTTTAAATGTTTGGTAGAATTTACCTGTGAAACTGGTCCTGGACTTTTCTATGTTGGGAGTTTTTTGATTATTGATTCAGTATCATTGCTGGTAATTGGTCTGTTCAAAATTTTGTATTTCTTCTTGGTTCAGTTTGGTAGGTTATATTTCCAGGAATTTGTCCATTTCTTCCAGGTTGTCCAATTTGGTGGCATATAATTTTTCGTAATGTTCTCTTGTAATTGTATCTCTGTGGTACTGGTTATTATTTTTCTTCTTTCATTTCTGATTTTGTTCATTTGAATCCTTTTCTTTCTTTTTTTATGATTCTAGCTAAAGGTTTATCAATTTTGTTGATCTTTTCAAAAAACCACCTTGTTTCATTGTTCTATTGTTTGGATTTTTAGATATTAGATATATATATTTGTCTAATATCTAAATAATATATTTGTCTAATTTTTAGTTTATTTCTGCTCTAATCTTTATTATTTCTTTCCTTCTGTCGGTTTGGGGTTTTTTTTTTCCTAGCTTCTTTAGGTGTAAGGTTAGGTTATTGGAGGTTTTTCTTGCTTGATGTAGGCCTCTAAACTTTCCTCTGTTGCTGTAAACTTCCCTCTTAGAATAGCTTTTGCTGCATCTCAAGGATTTGGGGCCATTATAGTTTCATTTTAACTTGTGTCCATGTATGTTTTGATTTCTTTGGTATCTCAGTTGACCCATTCATTGTTTAGTAGTGTGTTATTTAACCTCCACATATATGTGTTCTTTCCAGATTTTTCCTGTGGTTAACTTTTAATTTCTTAGCATTGTGATCAGAAAAGATGCATGGTATGACCTGCATCTTTTTGAATTTGTTGAGATTTGTTTGGGGACCTACTATGTGATCCTTTCTGGAGACTGTTTCATGTGCACTGAAAAGAATGTGGATTCTGCTGTTTTAGGATGGAATGTTCTATATATATCTGTTAGATCCATCTGGTCCAGTGTGTCATTCAAAGCCATTGT